GCGCGGGCCCTCGCCCCCGGGTCGCCCTCAGGCGCGGAGCCGGAGCCCGGGCCCCGGGCCCCGGGTGTGTGCGCCCCTGCGGGGCGAGGAGAGGGGCCGCGGCTTTGCTCGCCGCCCGGCGGGAACGGCGGCCAGAGTTAGGCCCCTCTGCCCCGGTGATGGCGGGCAGCGGCCGTCGAGGGGCACGGCTCATCCCTCGGCCGGCGGGAGAAGTCGCCGCCGGCGGCCGAGGTGACCTTTGGCGGGGACAGACCCTGCGGCCCCAGTTGGCCGTCGGCAGGCGGGCGATGCGTTGGCCGGGCTTCCCGCTGTCCGCGGAAGAAACGCGGACGCGGTGAGCTCCGTTGGAGCGCGCGCACAATCTCTCCGTTGCCTGCTGGTCAGTCTCAGTTTGTGTGATTGATCTTTAATTGCACGGCAAATAATAATGTCCAGAAGCACATATGTGGCTTAAGACATCAATTTAAAGTGCCTTAGGTTATCGCCGGGTAAGCAAATCCATGCAAACAGTGTAACGCTGTGCTGAGATTCCCGATAACGCCCGGAGAGCAATGCGCTGTGCCAGTGAGGTGCTACGCCCAGGTTCCAGAGCCGCTGTTGCACAGAACATCTAGTTTATTTGCATTAGGCAAATCGGTGGCGTGGCTGCGTGACCTCGTATCAGGAGATAACGATTGGAAGTTAAGTTATTGCGAAAATGCGTATCTGTTCCTTTGTAAACATGATGTCGACTGCTTTATCTGCAGCTATCAATAAGAAACAGTAAACCATTTTTCACTGTCTTCTAATGCAAATGTAAAACATCCCCAGCTGTACTCCTCATATGTGCTTCAACTGAGGAAACCTTAGGAGGGGCCTCAGGAGAGTAGCTAATAGTAAAATCTGCTAAAGTATTGCCAGTATTTATGCTTTTACTACTTTGTTTGTCTTGAGGTTGCACTTCAAGGCTTCCACCAATCTAAATCTCTGTTGTGCCAGGCAGAGTATTTGTCTGTGCAGAACGCTTGTTAAACTGCATTACGGACTATGCCCTGGCCGCCTTGGGGAGAATGGAAATGTTGTGGGGAGCATGAGGGCAAAAGTTCACTTGATTATGATTTTCTGATAGTTGTCTAATCTTTTATTGGACTAGGTTGGAATGCATCTTAAAAATGATCCGGAATGAGGAGAGGAAGGCCTGTAGAGTAATGGCACAGAGCCTTGAGGAAAATAAGGATCAATGAGCTTGATTGGGATATGATTGACAAGGTGTTATGAAGGGTTTAACTAGGTTGTCCTTCTTTTTTACACGTGTATGTGATTGAAAGGTCTGATGTCTGTGATTCTTTGTCAGACTTTGCAGTTACTATAGGCGGTCTAAGCGTAGCATATGTATGTGATGATCAGGCTAGTATACAGTGAGGCTTGGTACTAGAATTCCTCAATTATTTGGAGAGCTTTCTCTATGCTTACAATGTTCAAAATACAGCTCGCCAAAGGACAGATACAGTTGTGGGCTAGTGTGAATTCTGCTCTGTTTAATTTCCTCCAAATTGGAAAGCTTTAAAGTTAGTATTTATTGCATACCTTGAAAATACTAAGGATGTATCTTTAGGGAGGAGAGGTAAATGCTATCTCCGTTTCACAGGAGAACAAATTGAGTATCTGTGACCTCTCTGCAGTGAAAGAAGACATCTTTTTTATAGGTAGGAGTAGAACCTCTGACTTCTGATTTTGTAGGCTATTACTTGCATCCTTGTAGGACTATATTTGGAAAAAAAAAAAAGAAAAGCAGCTCTTGAGAAGAACATTTTCCTCTGTCTTGCCATTTTGTTCAGGCCACGTCACAGTGCATTTTGCATCATTTCTGGTAAAAGTTTGCAAATGTGTAAGTACTTGAATTCATAAGTAATTGTAAGCTTTCTCTTCGTAGCTCAGGCCAGTCAAATCCAACCTTTCATCTTCAGAAGGGTGGGCAGGCTTATGTGCTCAGGAAGAAGCCCCATGGCCCTCTTCTACCTAGGGCTCACAAGGTAAGTAATGTTCTTCAGCAAGCTCCAAACACTTTGTATGCAGGTGGCTAAGTCCTGTACATGATGGTGCCGCACATTGTTGAATGTGTCTAGAAATGCAATGAATTACTGGATCATTTCCGGTTTTCTGTGCTAGATGCATAAATAAACATTTGAGAGGATATATTGTCATTCACTGTACTCATTTATGTTTGGGAGCTTTTCACTGAACCTAAGTTCTGTGTCTTCTTCAGATCGATAGAGAGTATCGTGTGCAGAAAGCCTTGTTTTCAGCTGGATTTCCAGTGCCTGAGCCCCTGTTGTATTGCAGTGACGTTTCTATCATTGGAACAGAATTTTATGTAATGCAGCATGTGCAGGTTGGTCCTCCAATGTGAAAGATTTTTTCCTTTTCCCTACTACAAGCTGCTTTTAAATTGTTTAACACTTTTCTGTTAGAGTCTTATTCAGCATTTACTAAGCCTTGTGATACAAACATAAATAATCCTCTGACATTTTTAAAAAATGCTAGCTATCAAAGATTGTCACTGATTTCAGCTTCTCCGGGACTTATTTCCCACTTTGTCAAAATTTTCAGCTCAATATTTGACCTCTTGCTCTTGTTTTGAGCTCTCAGAAGGATGTCTTGAAATGAGGCAATATTACTTCTGTGAAAAGCATACACAAGTCAGAGGGAGAACAATCAGGCTATGAAGTTATATTGAATCTTTGGATATCCTGGGACTTGTTTAGTACTGAAGATAGGAATCTACATACAGTCACCTTTTCTTGAAAACCAAGCAGCTCAAACACTAGTTTCGGAAAGAACATCGCATAGCTCTGTCCATGGCCCATCACTCTGGGAGTGCCGTAGCTGAATAGATACTGTTTCTGTTAGATTTTGGTGATTCTGAGCATAAGTCTGCTGTATCATGTCTTTTTTTTCCTGTGGGAGGAGGATTTGAATTCAGACCTCTTTCATTGCATCCTACTCTATCATCAGATTCACGGGGAAATTAGAAATGTAAGAGTTTGTGGGCCGGTTCCTGGAGATTAAGTTAACCTTCCTACAAAAACCATGAATCAAGAGTAATAAAATGTAAAAGCTGTGAAGAATTTGAAGCAATTTTCTTACATTAAAGATGGAGAATTTTTCTGGTTTTGACTAGAACAAAGTGATTTCTTAATGAGAAACCTTGCTACTGATATATTTAGATTTCTAAGGATGTAAATTTACAGTCTATGCATTCTAATATGGACAGCAGTGCACTGTTTTTAACAAATATGTTGTGTATTTAGAAAACAATCATATGTTTATTGTGTTGAATAAACTATTACACAATACAAAATCTGATTTCTAGATTTGTTATGCAGAATCTTTCAGCAAAAAAGTTCTATTGATGCTTTAGCTGTGTAAATATATTGAAGCCATCATGCGAACCAGTGAAACTGAGCAACTTAGAGAAGAGTCTGTCTTTTCTAATCTGTTACTGGCAGGGTCAAAATTAAAGGAGAAAATGGAAAAACACACTCATCTTCTACACATAAGAAACTGCTTTTAAGGAGAATGCAAGTGAATTTCTTTGGATTGTTTGCCTCTTTATACATAGAACCCACCCATTCCCCTCCCCTCCCTGCCTGCCCCTCCCCAAGGTCTTAACCGATATTTTTTCCCGAAGTTAGCTGTTAGAGACATACAGTAACATTTGGTTTTTTCCTGGTACTTTCAAGCTGGAGGATATCTGGTTTGAGTGCTCTAATTCCAACTTTCATCTACTGAATGTATCTGTTATTTTAATTGCCTTCCAATAGATATCCTTTATACTGATGATCTGAGATTACTGTGAATCCCTTCATCTGTCCTGGGCAAGGAATAAAGTAAATGAGGAAGGAATTTTTGATTGCATAGGGAGTGTTGGTTCACTACATTTGTTTTTCCTCCTGAAATGTATAGCTTTACTTCTCTTCATCTGATGCGTACATCCCACCAACTATCTGATTTACGATGTTTCTAGGGTCGCATCTTCCGAGACCTCTCAATGCCTGAAGTGGGCCCAGCAGAGCGTTCTGCTTTGTATATTGCAATGATAGAAACTTTGGCCCTGTTGCACTCCTTTGATTTACAGTCATTGGATCTCCAAGGATATGGTAGAGGACCAGGATACTGCAGAAGACAGGTACAGCTCTTCAAAAAATTCTCTTGTTTTGTCAGGTCTTTTAAGATTTATTTCATTTGCAAGCTAAATTGTTAATTATAAACTACTTGTAAAAGTAACCATCATATTTTAGCTATTAAACACCTTTGTGTATTTCAATTATTTGTGCACAGTATAAAGTTACTACTACATTCAGATCAACTCTGTAATGCTATACTTGGAGAATGGTATTAATTCACTTTTGGAATAATATTAGATTTAGGCTATGTGACTAGGATTGAAGTAGAAAATAGAGGTGGTCTTCATTGCATCTTTTGA